CTTGCAGATACAGCCCTGCCTGGGGATGTCCTGTGTCTCAGTGATCTCCAGCCTTTTGTAGCACCTGAGAAATGCTGCAGAGCTCCATGGGCAGCTGCTGCCTGGGGAGATTTCTGGGCAAAGAGAGCTTGGTTGGGAGCAGCAGTTACAGGAGAGCTCAGACCACAGCAGGGAATGCCCACATTGCACCAAAACTGACAAGGAAAATTTTTGTGGTTTTTTTTTTAAGTGCAAGGATTAACTTCAAACACATAATCAAAGCAGTGATGAGAACGCTGATGAGAACAAGAAAGCTCCAGCTTGGAAAAGAATTTGAAAAGCAAATGTACAAAAGCAAATTGAGTTTAAAGCCTCTTTCATCAGTGGATTGGGTGGTTTTGGGTTTTTTAAAATGATTTTGTTGTTTGTTTGATGGCTTTTGAGGGCTTGCTGGTTCTCCTGGGCCAGGTGGATTGAACAAGAGCAGCGAACCTGGAAGTGCTGGGTGAATGGTTGGGCTCAGTGATCATGGAGGTCTCTTCCAACCTAAACAATTCCATGGTTCTGTGGTGAATTCCATGATTCTGAGGGGGTCCAGGCAGTGCAGCTTCCTGGCTCTGGTCCTGTAGCATCTCATCCACCTGATCTGACACCCTGTGTAGAGATGGATGTTCAGAGGGAGCAGGAAACATCATCTCCATCATCTCCATCATCTCCATCATCTCCATCATCTCCATCATCTCCATCATCTCCATCATCTCCATCATCTCCATCATCTCCATCATCTCCATCATCTCCATCATCTCCATCATCTCCATCATCTCCATCATCTCCATCATCTCCATCATCTCCATCATCTCCATCATCTCCATCATCTCCATCATCTCCATCATCTCCATCATCATCTCCAGCTGTAAATCCTTTGGGGATGGGATGGGATGCTCTCCCACTGCTTTGGCTCCAGTGTGGAGCTGCTGTGCCACATTTTTTGCTCATCCAGGCATTTTTTTGGTGCTGGTTATGGCAGCCAGGCCCATTCCTGGATCTGGTGGCCAGGAGCATCCCCACAGCTGCCCTCAGCCTGTGCCAATGGAGCGAGCTTGACCCTGGAACAGGACTGGGAAAAGGATCTCCCTGGGGGCTCTGTTTGCATCTGGCTTGCTGTAAACAATTTCACAGAGTTATGAGCATGGCCAAATACACAGGAGGTGCTGTGCATCCACAGAAATGCCTTCATAACCAGTGCAAGGCTGTGCAAGAGGCAGGAAAATACACTGCAAATGATCCAGGGTACAGGTTCTGCAGGGAAAAATCTGACCAGGTATAACAGTTGAGAGTCAATATTGCCTTGGGCTAATCAAACCTGCAGTTCTTGGTGTGCTCCTGGTCCCTGCCCCTCGGTGGTGGCTGTGGCTGTGATAATATTTGGCTTGTTCCAGCAGTGTAAATGACAGCAGGGCTGGGTGACAGCAAAGCTGGGCTTTGGATGATGAATATCCCTGGGAGTTTTGTAGCAGAGAGGTCTAAACCTTCATCCTTCGTCCCTCCCTGGGGCTGTTGGACAGGGGAGGGTTTGATTTCCCTTTCCAGGGGGATTTGTGCTGTGCTCCCAGCTGGAGCCAGGGGGGCTGTTTGTGCTGTTGTGGAATACTTGATGATATTCCTCCCGAGTTTACCTACAGCTAAATTATTAGTTGCTGTTCCAATTTCCTTTCTAATAAAAGAAGAGCAAACATCTCATTTCTCTAGGCTGGCATGAGATCCAGAGTGGGCAGCTTCATCTGCTGGGATTGTTCTGGCTGCTGTCTGAGAATTAGCATTCAAATGCAGCACATTCAGAGGCTGTTCAAGGCTGCTCTGTGCAGGGAGCCAAGGGGTGTCACAAATCCCCTGGCAGATCCCAGCTGCCTGTGGGAGAGTCCTCTGGGGTCTGCAGGCAGCAGCACAGGAGATCTGTCAGGAGTTTTGGGCTTCCCTGGCTCTGAGCTGTCCTACAGGTGCCAGCTGTGTCTGTTTGGGCAAATTTAAGATGGTTTTGTTGGAAAACTTTCTTGGTAGGTAGAGAAAGTTGGGATCTCTCGGCTCCATTGCCTGGAAGGGTTGATTCTGTTCCCTGGAAGTGCCCAAGGCCAGCTTGGATGCAGCCTGAATTAGTGGAAACTGCCCCTGCCCATGGGGTGAGATGGGATGAGCTTTTCCTTTCCCACCCAGCCCATTCCAGGATTCCAAGATCTCCCTTGTTCTGTGTTACAAGGCCATGCCTGTCTGTCTCTGCTGGTGTTTGTGTTTGTCACACACCAGGTGAGTGCCCTTGCTGCCCTTTCCACTTCCAGTCCTTTAGACTTGGTTTATTTTTAGTGTTCCAACCTCAGTCAATGCAGTGCAATTTTTTTTTTTTTTTTACCTTTAATGAGTAATTTTCCACTAAACTGTGTCTCTTGGAAGGTGTTTTGTTTGTGCCTCAAGCATGCAGGTGGTTTGTGCAGTGCTGGCACTGAAATGCCCACTCAGAGCCGTGTCCTGCTGTCCTGGATGGTCCCCAGGCCCTGGACAGACAGATGGTCACTGCCCCGCAGGCATTGTGTCAATGTACTGAAATTTCAACCAAATATTTGAATATACTCCTTATATTCCAATATTTCCTGACTGGATCAGAAGCTGGTAAAGACATAACTCTGCAAATTGATTTTCAGGTGTATTTTGTGTGGGGGGTTTAAAATGCTGACACCACCAGTGCTGCCATGAGTGTACATTTAATATCTGTGTGTGAGAGAGAAGGGCTGAGTCCTGCTGGGTGAGGGTCAGGAGCCATCTGGACAAGGGTGGCTCAGCCAAATTTCAGGGAATCCCTGAGGGCCCCTGTGGTGGTGTTTGCAGGGGTCCCAGGGCGAGGGAAGAGGTGAGGATCTGACTCCATGTTTCAGAAGGCTTGATTTATTATTTTATGATATATATTATATTAAAACTGTACTAAAAGAATAGAAGAAAGGATTTCATCAGAAGGCTTGAAAGGAATAGAAGAGGAAAGGAATAATAATAATAATAAGATCTTGTGACTCTCCGAGAGTCTGAGCCAGCTGGGCTGTGATTGGCCATTAATTAGAAACAACCACATGAGCCCAATCCCAGATGCACCTGTTGCATTCCACAGCAGCAGATAACCATTGTTCACATTTTGTTCCTGAGGCCTCTCAGCTTCTCAGGAGGAAAAATCCTAAGGAAAGGATTTTTCATAAAAGAAAAATGTCTGTGATGAAAAGTGTCTGTGATGGCTCCTGGGCTGGGCAGGATGCCAGAATATCTCTGGTGGGAATTCCAGGTGGAGGGAGAGGGGCAGCACGTGGTGGACACATGGAGGTGTGTGCTGCTCCCCAGCCCTGCTCCAAGGCCTGGGGATGTGTGGGGAGACAGAGGCTCCTCTGCTCTTGCTGGGGCTGGCTCTGTCCCCGTTTCTGTTGCTGTAAAGTGTAAAATGAAATGGTGCTGGAGCAAGGAACCCTCAGTGAGGATGCAGCTGCCCCTTCCCTGGTGCCCAGGTGAGGCTCTGGGACCAGGGGGAAACTGAAGGTGGGAGATGAGGAGTGAAGGAGCACCAGGAGGAGGAGCCCTGACCAGGGGCAGCTGCGGTTTTAGGACACAACAGAGCACTGAGGTGGAAGATGGAGCTTTATCCTGGTCGTTGGGGTGTTCCTGCAGGTGGAATCACTGCCCTGAGCACAGGGCTGGGGTGTGGAAGGTGCAGGAGCTGGACCATGAGGAATCCCCCAGTGCTCTGAGGCACCTCCAGTCCCAAGCTCCGTGCCTCAGTGCCATTCCTTGCTGTGAGTTCCTGACTCAGTGCCAGCTCATCCTCAGCTGCTGGCATCCAGGGAAGTCTCAGGGCTCTGTTAGTCACCAGGCAGGGAGCAATGCTGGGATCTCACCTGGTGCCTCTGACAGAGCAGCTCTTGGCTCACAGAGGCCTCTGCTCTTAATCCATGCTCAGGATTTCCTTTATGGAGCTGTCAGCCGTGCATAAGTGCCCTTGATTACACCTTGCAGAGGAGTTTAATTCCCCAAATGATGCCATTAAAGGTCTCTCATTCATGCCAAGGTTTGCTTGGCCAAGTCTTGACCTGCTGTGTATTCCCTGTGCCCTCAGGGAGAGCACCTTGCTCAGCAGAGCTTCCTTCACACCCTCAGCTCTGTGCTGGCAACACTTCCCGCTATGTTTTTCCAAAACCAAGATGTTGCAGAGGCACTGGAAGTTGAGATCCAGGCATGCTGGCAGCTGTGTTTGAAGGGAAAAGTGGTTGGCAAGTGAATGTTTAAGGAGCAAAGACTGAGCTGGGCTCTGGCTGCCTGCAGCAGGACTGGGGAGGGTGACAGCTGGGGATGGAGGTCACCCCCCTGCTGCCAGACCCTGCTGGCTCTGACCTCCTGTCTGCTCCCTGCAGCAATTCTGTGCGGGGTCCCGTTTGTTTTTGTCCCCCTGATGGTGGCCCTGGTGAGCACTAAGTGACAGCTCCCCCTGGGTCAGCTGAGTGCCAGCTGTGAGTCAGGGAGGGCAGAGCTGCTGGCACTGCCCTGCAGATGGGATTCCTGGGCACAGCTGGCGCCAGGTGATCACTGAGGTAGGCACTGATGGAGAGCTGCAGTCACTTGGGACAGCTGTGTCACAGGAAATTTGTCAAACAGAGTGAGAGAACAGAACAAGGCTGTAAAAACCTTAAATATGAGATTTAGGTACCTTTATTAGATGATTAGATTTATTTATCTAAGTGATGCTCAGTTGCCTCAGTTAATTCTTGGCTCGTCGTTTTCCTACTGTGAAGTTTCTCAGAAAATGAAACAATTCTTATTTATTCCTGACTTTTTGAAGTAGTGGTGATGCTCAGCAGGCAGAGCTGCACCAACCCTCTGTGAGCTCTCCTGTGCCATTGGGATAACCTGGGAGCAGAGGAGGCTCCTGTCCACCCACCCCACTGCAGGTCCATGGCTGAAATTCCATGTTTTCCCTGAGTGCCTCTGTCCTGCAGGTGAAGCAGATCATGGAGGAGGCTGTGACGAGGAAGTTTGTGCATGAGGACAGCAGCCACATCATCTCCTTTTGTGGTGAGTCTCCTGTGCTGGCCTGGACTGGGGGCTTTGGTGCTGGGAACCCACTCCAGCTCCAGGACCTTGGGCTGGGGGAATGGGGAATGCCAGAGGATGGATTGTTCTGGCAGAGGTCACAGTCCCTGAGGTCTTTGTGCTTAAAATATACAGGGATGTGTCAAAAGAGGGAGGGATGCTGGCGGTGAGGAAGGACTAGAAACAATGTTTTATTTTTAAATTCCCTTGAGAACTGATCCAGCTGAAAGTCTGTCAAGTCCAAATCTTTTCTTTGCTGTTATGGAATAGGAGTTTATGGAAAGGTGTGACCGTGTTCACAGGGGTCTCAGGTTGAGGGAAGAGATGAGGATTTGACTCCATGTTTCAGAAGGCTGATTTATTATTTTATTATGTATATTACATTAAAACTATACTGAAAGAATAGAAGAAAGGATTTCATCAGAAGGTTAGCTTAGAAAAAGGAAGAATGATAACAAAGGTTTGTGGCTCAGACTCTCTGTCTGAGCCAGCTGGGCTGTGATTGGCCATTAATTAGAAACAACCACATGAGACCAATCCCAGATGCACCTGTTGCATTCCACAGCAGCAGATAACCATTGTTGACATTCTGTTCTTGAGGCCTCTCAGCTTCTCAGGAGGAAAAATCCTAAGGGAAGGATTTTCCATAAAAGATGTCTGTGACAGAAAGGAGGCTGGGATTTCTCCTTTCCTGCTGGGCCCTCACATCACAGACACCCAGGAGCCTGTTCCCAGCCCCTGGCCCTGTGTGGCTTTGAAAGAGCAGAGCAGACCTGCAGGTGTGACTCATTCCCTGCTTTTCTGTGCAGCACGAGGCTCCTCAAATCTGCCATTATTTATAGGCCCCTGTGGCAGGGAGCTGAGGCGTGCAGGCACCAAGGGCTCCTTGCTTCCCTTCTGGCCTCTTAAGGTGCTGCTGCATTTCCCTGCTTCCTGGTGTCCCCCTCCTGCATTCCATCTGCTGGAATGGAGCATCTCCATCCTTCACCTTCCCCAGTGCTGTGGCTCTCCAGGAGCTGGGTGATAAATAACCTCTCATAAATAACCTCTTTCCCTGCCAAGCAGAGTGTGCTGCAAGCCTGGCTCTGGCTGCCAGAGCTGCCCTTTTCCCTGGAGACAGCTGCCTTGCCTTCCCTTCCCAGCAGAGCCCTCTGCACAGCACAAACCCCTGGGGATGGAGCCAGGGGTCTGGCAGGGGGGTTTTGGAGCAGACAAACACGAGCTGGCATCTGTCACACCCAGGCTGCCCTGGGAGGCTGATGGGGAGCCCAGGGTTTGGTGCCCACGTCAGCCAGGGCTGTTCAGCCCCAGGGGTTTGGATCATGTCAGAGCTCTGGGCAGCTCAGGAATATTTTCAGTCTTTTGCCAGGAGTCAAAGCTTCCCCCTTAGCTGGGTGTAGCTGATGCACCATAGATTATATCCTGGATATCCTGGCTCTGCTCTAAGTTATATCCTGAGGGGTGAGGAGAATCTCTTTGCAGTGCTGACAAAACTGAGCTCCAAAACTCGTCCTATTTAAAAATCCTGCCATCACCCCTGGATTTACTAGAGCATGGGGAGAGTTTTTCCTGTGGAAGCAGCACATTTCCCTGTAGTTTGCCAGCAGGAGAGGTGTTTTGCATGGGTTCAGATCTGGCACTGGGAACAGATGCTGCTGACAGCTCTGTCTTGGTGCTCTGTGCCAGAGGCCTGGCAGGAGCTGAGATTTCTCCCTGCCTGGCAGGAGCTGGGATGTGCTGCCTGTGACCCGAGCACAGTGAGGGAGCACCAGTGCTCCCATTTGTCCGCTGGGAATTTGGAATGGAACTGGTGGCACTGGGAGCTCCCTTTCTTGGGAGTGCAGCAGGGGCAGCCCTGGCTGCTCACCCCTCGTGGGTACCTGAGCTTTCAGCACCAGCCTGGAGTGCCACTCCACTGGCACTCCAAATGGGCACCCCTGGGTGCAGTCCCAGGCAGGTGGGGCTGTTTGTCACTTGCATTTCAGCCATGGAGCATAGGACACATGAGGGAGGTGTTGGCTTTTCTGGCAAAGCCATGGAGCAGTTTGGGGTTTATTTTATTTGTGGCTGCACATAATCCTGGGGCAGATGAAGCCCTGTGGGAGGGCTTGTGCAGGGGCTGGTTCCAAAGCCAGATGTCCATGCAGTGGCTCTGCCTGGCTGCTGGGGGTCAGCAGGGCTGGGCTGGCCCAAATCTGTTGTTGTTCTCACCCCCCCTCGGGTGCTGCTGCTGGGCACTGAGCTCAGGCAAGGATCAGGGCAGGATAATGAGCCTCTCCCAGCCTGGGAGCTGCTGAGATGGGGCTGCAGGAATGCCTTTTTCCATGTCTCCATGGAGTTGTTCAGCTGTAGGGAAGTGTGCCTTTCCAGGCAGGAGGGGAAGCAGCGTCCGGGCTCAGCTCAGCAGCGCTGGCTTCCCAGGGAGGAGGGAGCAGAGCTCCTTCCTTGTCAGGCCTGCATCAAGGGCCTGAGCACTGTGGGTCTGTGTGATTTTCCAGTGCTTTGATCAGCCTGTTTAATCAGCCTGTGTTTGGCACCAGCCATCCATCCTGAGCCCTCCCAGGGGGCTTTGGGAACGAGCTGCTGGCTGAGCCTGTGTGTGTGTGTGTGCCTTTCTGTGGAGTCATGGCTGATTCCTGGCATCCCTGCTGCCCCTGGCAGGGCAGGGAAGGTGTCTGGGCACTCACTGGGGTTTGGTGAGTGCCTCTGGGCACAGTTCAGGACATGGAGTCAGGCACAGCCTTCCACAGGGGCTTAATGAGTCCCTGTGTCCCCGAGTGCCAGTGGAGTCCCCAAAGCCAGACTGAGCTGCTGGCACTGCCTGTGGTTTATCCCCAGGGTCATTGTTCCTTTCAGCTTTTCAGAAAAATGTTTGTATGAACATTATGGTTTTTTGGGGAAAGTTGCCCCATTTCCTGTGCTGCTTTAGAAACCTTCAGGGTGCCTGTCCTTGCTCCTGAGTTTTCTCCTCCTGATTTGCACCATCCCAGCACAGGGAGTGAAACCTCCTGTTCCAGCTGTGCCCATCCCTCAGACTGGGCTGAAGGGAAAACATCAGGGAGATGCCGGTTTCTCCACAATCCACAAGAAACCACAAAAAAAAAAAAAAAAACCACAAAAAGAAGAGTGTCAGCCTGTTTGCCCTCCTGCCTGGAGGAGCTGTAGTGCTTGTTGTTAATTCCCATGTGGGATAGGATTACAATTTCCTGAAGGCAAGGTGGGGATGCCTCTGCCTACTGTCTGATGAGTTTTAGGAGCTTCCATCCATGGAAGTGTTCAAGGACAGGTTGGATGTGGCTTAGAGCAACCTGGTCTAGTAGGAGGGCTCCTGATGAACAGTGCCTTTCTGGATTCCTTGTAATCCCCTCAGATCCTGGGGGTTGCTGTGAGGTCTCCACACAATCTTCTCTTCCCCAGGCTGAACAGCCCCACCTCTCTCAGCCTGACTCCATAGGGAAGGTGCTCCAGTGATCCCAAGGTTGGCTCAGTTGGGTAGAGCATGGCACTACTAAAGCCAAGATTGCGTGGTGCTAAAACTGTGTGTTCCACAATCCCTCAAAGAGCTGGACTGGGTGATCCCTGTGGCTCCTTCCAGCTGGGAATAATCTGATCCTGGCTCCATAGGGAAGGTGCTCCAGTGATGCCCAGGTTGGCTCAGTTGGGTGGAGCACGGTGCTGCTAAAGCCAAGATTGCTATAACTCTATGTTCCATTGATGGGCCAATCCCTCAAAGAGCTGGACTGGGTCCTTCCAAGTGGGAATATCCTGATCCTGAGGCCTGTGCTCTCTCAGCCTGACTCCATAGGGAAGGTGCTCCAGTGATCCCAAGGTTGGCTCAGTTGGGTAGAGCATGGCGCTACCAAAGCCAAGATTGCGTGGTGCTATAACTGTGTGTTCCACAATCCCTCAAAGAGCTGGACTGGGTGACCCCTGTGGCTCCTTCCAAGTGGGAATATCCTGATCCTGAGGCCCTGTGCTCTCCGCAGCCGCCGTGGAATGCTGTGTGCTGTTCGGGCTGAAGCGGAGGGCGGCCGGGTTCCTGCGCAGCAACAAGATCGCAGCGCTCTTCATGAAGGTGGGCAAGAGCTTCCCCCTGGCAGAGGAGCTCTGCAGGAAGGTGCAGGACCTGGAGCAGCTCATTGAGAACGCGTAAGGCACCAGCGTGGCTGCCAGTCCTCTCTGCTCACTCGGGTTTCAGGGTGGGAAGTGTGGTTTGGGTCCAACTCGAGCCTCGACAGCAGGAATTGCTCCTTCAGTCTTCTCTCCTGGGTTTTTTACATCTTGACCAAACTGGTTGATGTTCTAGGAGGCTGAGTTGTGGTTGTGGTTTAAGCAGGGGTGGACAAGTTTTAAGTCTCTCTGCCTCAGGTCTGGTGCTTCAGGCACAGCTGAGCATGCTGCTCCTGAGCTGTCACAGTTTATGGACCAGTTCACCAAGCTGGAACCACGTTTGGCCTGTCTCAGTGTGCAGGGCTGGAAGCTGCAGTAATTCTGCCGCTGTTTGGGAGAGGATTACTCATCCTTGGACAATTAGCAGGGAGATGGATGCAGCAGCTACCTGAGGGCAGGAATTTTAAGCTGTCCTAAGATGAGCTGCTCTGCCTGTGAGCTCAGCCGTGGAAATGTGTGTGGGCTGCAGGGCTGTGCTGAGGGAGAGCAGAGTTCTGGGATTGTCTTTACCGTGGGGAACTGATTTGGTGATGTGGTTTCAAATGCAGGTGTGGCCCCTCTGGAGCAGGGGATGGGATTGGGACAGGAAACACCTCCAGAGCTCTGTCCCAGGCAATTCCCTGGGATCCCCCAGCCGACACAGTCAACACCCCCAAACCCCTGGTGGCAGGGGTGCCCTGGGCTCCCTCAGAGTTCAGGGGCGAGCCTGTGGTGTTGTTGTCTCTTGTCTTGAACCTCTAAAGGAGAAACCAAGCCCAGGGGGTCCCAGAGAACGTGCGCAAGGTGCCGAAGCTGCCCAACCTGTCTCCTCAGGCCATCCGGCACCTCTGGATCCGCACAGCCCTCTTCGAAAAGGTCCTGGATAAAATCGTGCACTACCTGGTGGAGAACAGCAGGTGAGCACTGGCACAGCCCACCCATGGCCTGCCCATGGCACTGGGGGTGTTGCTGGCTGGGGAACACCTGTGTCCACAGGGGACAGGGAAGTCCCTGCATGGCACGGGCCAGGTGTGTCACTCAGTGGGACTCTGGTGGATGCCCTGCTGCTGGTGACCACTGTGCACTCCTTAAAATACAGACAGGCCACACTGGCCCTGGTGATGGCTGGATTGTCAGGGCTGCATTGTCCTTGTCTTCTGGGATCTGCATGCTGTGCTGGGACAGGTTAGTTAGGAGATGGTGATGCTTGCAGTGTGCTGCAGGAGGGTTGCTGCTCCCCAGGAATTTCTCAGCCTGTTTAAGGCTTCTTGCCCTCTCCCCATCAAGGGGTGATACAGAAAGAGAAGGACGTGATAGGGATTTAAACCACTGTCTGTAACTTGGCAGTGCTCCAGCATTCTGCTGTCCTTTATTTCTTCTAGTAAGTACTATGAGAAGGAAGCTCTCCTGATGGATCCTGTGGATGGGCCAATTCTAGCATCTTTATTGGGTAACCCTTGCTTTATTTGCTTTCCCTCCTTGCTTTCCAAACCCATGCTCCCAAATCTGTGATCTGCAGATCTGGGAGGTGACCGCGGCCGTGGGATCAAGGATGGTTCCCTTATGCTTGGGGTGTTCCTCTCCACAGTGGGGCCCTGTGCACTGGAATACACCAAGATGAAGACTGCTGACCACTTCTGGACAGACCCCTCTGCAGATGAGCTGGTCCAGAGGCACAGGATCCACAGCTCCCACTGCCGCCAGGACTCGCCCACCAAACGCCCAGCGCTCTGTGTGAGTGGGGGAAAAACCTGTCTGCTCCTCCCACATCCACACATCTGGGCTCCCTTTGCTTGGAAAGGCCTCTGGAGCCCTCTGATGAGGGAAGTCTTTGAGGCAGAGGTGCTGGGAATGTGGCCCATGGAGAGCACTGGCATGCCAGCCCCTCTTGGCACTGCATGCCAGGGTCTGTGTCCCTGGGATCATCGTGCATGAACCGAAAGCTGAATCTGCTCTGTGCATTGCAAACAAAATTCACTCCTGGGGCTTCTCTGAGCTTGGACAGAGTCAGGAATCCCCTTAGAGGACCCTGGGGGAAAGACTTCTAGTAGTGACTCTCATAAGTGAGGAGGGAGTGAGGTTCAAAGGAAGCTTTTGGGAAGCCAGAGGGTGTCTGTGCTCACCTCACATTTGTGAGTGTGTCTCTTGCAGATTCAGAAAAGACATTCCAGTGGCAGCATGGATGACAGGCCATCCCTGTCTGCCAGGGACTACGTGGAGTCCCTGCACCAGAATTCCCGAGCCACGCTCCTGTACGGCAAGAACAACGTCCTGGTGCAGCCGGTGAGTCCTGCTGGGCTTGGAGACACTGCTCTGCCCAGCAGCACCTTGTTCTGTCCCAAACAGATGCAGAAAAGCACATTTTCCATCTGGGAAGGCAGTGAGTGGGCTGTGTTTGTGGAGGTTTTGGTGGTGGAAGAGCTCTGCTCCAGCCTGGCTGGAAACACAGGCTCCTCTCCCTGCCCGTTCTTTGCCACCAAACTCCTTCTCCTGTCCCCTCCTGCTTCTTGTCGTCAAATAAATGAAGTGCAAACTGCTTTTAGTTGGAGCTATTAGGTTTTCCTTGCTGGGAAATTGCTCTCAGCCCTTTTCCAAGGCCTTGAGGTGTCCTGGAGTCTGTGCTGGGGGGTTTTCCAGGGACACAGTGGGTTCCTCCCTGGTTGTGGCTGGGTGGGCAGGGCTGTGTGAGGGGCCACAACTGGGCTCCGGGGCTTTGTGCTTGTTCCAGCTCTGTGTGCCACTGTGTTTCTCCTCCCAGCGAGATGACATGGAGGCAATCCCGGGGTACCTGTCCCTTCACCAGACTGCTGACATCATGGCACTGAAGTGGACCCCCAACCAGCTGATGAACGGCTCCGTGGGGGACCTGGACTATGAGAAGAGGTGACTGTGGGGGGAAGTGTTCCCCTGGGTCAGAGCTTGCATCTGGGATGCAAAGCCATCGCTGTTTTCCCAGAGAAACACCATCACCCTTGAGCCTGTAATGGGAAGGAGGCAGGGAGAGGGTGGCAGGAGGTGCTGTGAGATGTGTCTGCTGGGAAGTGCTCAGAGAGGGAGTGGGGCTTGTTCCAAAGCACACAGAGTGGTTTTGTTTGTTGCCCTGGGGGATTTTTTTGAGGGGAATGCTCTCCCTCCCTCCTGGCACACTGTGCTCCCAGGTTTCTCCTGGCTCCAGGAAAGTGGGAGTGTTTAGGACGTTGATAAACTAGAGATCTTCAGTAGAACTTGGTCTCAGTTTCATTCATTGTCAGTTGTAGTTTTTTGTTTACCTGTGTACTTTTCATCTCCCTTTTCTTCTTGGCCCCTGGGCCGTTCAGTTGAGCCTGGTACCCTCCCCTAAAATCTGTTTTCATCTCTACACTCCTTTTCTGAGTTCTTGCCTTGGGCATCAGCCTAAGCTCTAAAAATTCCCAGTGTCAAGACGTGACCAAGGAAGAGAGGAGGCAGATGGCACAGTGAGTATGACTGTACAGGGAGTCACTCTTGCACACCTTCCTGTCCTTCACGAGCTGTTTTTAATGCTATTTAAGCACTATTTTTACAAAGTGGCAGAAGCTGCTGCTGCTCAGAATCTGGAAATTTGCTTTGTTGCAAAGCAGTGGGATGTGATTGAGTGCTGACACCCTTGGACAGCAGTGCTGGGCTCTCCACAGGAATGAAACCCTTCCTCTCTGCTCTCTCTGGTGGCCACCAGCTCTCCAGCATGTTCTAGATCTGCTCAGACACCTCGAGGTGCCTGTGCTGAGACAGTTCTTGAACAGAAGCAGCTGAGACCAAATCTGTTGTGAGCTCTGAAAAAACCCCACAAATTGTGAGGGTTTATTCCCCCTCCCTGGGGCAGAGCAGCAGCCCAGGCTTGGACCTCACTGCACGTTTCCTGAGGGATTCTTGGGATGCTCAGAGAGGAGTGCTCAGCTCTGCAGGGCTCCAGTCCCTCCCTGCAGTTGCCAGGATCCATGGGCACATTTCCTGTGTCTGGGAACAGTGTGAGGGCAGAGGAACCACCCAGGGCAGGCAGGACAGGGCTGGCCTGGCTGAGCTGAGGTGGCAGGGACAGTTCCTGGCTCTGGAGGCATGTTGTCACTCACCAGGCTGGCATCACTGCTCTGGCATCTCATCCTTTCTGTGGCTTTGGCTGCTGCCAGGGGGTGAGGAGCAGGGTTTGGTGCTGCTGTGAGCAGCAGCAGAGCCTCTCACACCCTGGAGGCTCACAGCTTCTCTGTCCCTCTGTTGCAGCGTGTACTGGGACTATGCCATGACCATTCGCCTGGAGGAGATCGTGTACCTGCACTGCCACCAGCAGGGTAAGGCCACACCTAGGGCTGCTGGGGGCTCTGTCACCTGGCACTTGATCCCTTACCTCTGGGACATAGTTCTGTTGTGGCTCCAGGGCAGTTCCCAGAGCTCTGGGTGGTCACTGTGATTTAAGTGCTTCTAGAAAAGTCTTTCCCCTGCTCCTGGCTGTGGTGTGTCACAGACATGTTTTATGAAAAATCCTTTCCTTAGGATTTTTTTTCTCCTGAGAAGCCTCAGAAGCAAAATATAAACAATAATTATCTGCTGCTGTGGAATGCAACAGGTAGATCTCTGATTGGTCTCATGTGGTTGTTTCTAATTAATGGCCAATCACAGCCCAGCTGTCCAAACTGTCTCAGTCACAAGCCTTTGTTATCATTTCCTTCTTATTCTATTCTTAGCTAGCCTTCTGAAGAAATCCTTTCTTTATTCTTTTAGTATAGTTTTGATATAATATATATCATAGAATAATAAATCAGCCTTCTAAAACATGGAGTCAGATCCTCATCTCTTCCCTCATCCTAAGACCCCTGTGAACGCCACCACAGTGGTGCTTGGCTGGGAGTGCTCCAAGGGGGTGATCCCAGCAAGACTTTTCCAGGATCTGTGCTATCATGGAGTTAGAGAAGAATCCACACAAAGGAGAAAGTCCTTATTTTCCATTCCTTGAGCTTTCCTGCCTGTGCTGTTTTGTGACCGTGTTCACAGGGGTCCAAGGATGAGGGAAGAGATGAGGATCTGACTCCATGTTTCAGAAGGCTTGATTTATTATTTTATGATATATATTATATTAAAACTGTACTAAAAGAATAGAAGAAAGGATTTCAACACAAGGCTAGCTAAGAATAGAAAAAGAAAGAATGAATAACAAAGGCTTGTGGCTCAGACTCTCTGTCCGAGCCATCTGGGCTGTGATTGGCCATTAATTAGAAACATCCACATGAGACCAATCCCAGATGCACCTGTTGCATTGCACAGCAGCAGATAACCATTGTTCACATTTTGTTCCTGAGGCCTCTCAGCTTCTCAGGAGAAAAAAATCCTAAGGGAAGGATTTTTCAGAAAATACCATGGCTGCACCGTTTCCCTCACTGATGGCTGTGTCTGCTCTCACTGTTGCCAGCAGTAGACAGTGGTGGCACGGTTGTCCTGGTGAGCCAGGATGGCATCCAGAGGCCACCTCTGCGCTTCCCCCGTGGAGGACACTTGCTGCAGTTCCTGTCCTGCCTGGAGAATGGCCTCCTGCCCCACGGGCAGCTGGACCCACCCCTCTGGTCACAGCGGGGAAAGGTGGGTGCCTCTTCCTGCTGGGACCCTCTGCCTGGCATTAGTGGCTGCTGTGTTTGAATTAATCCCCTCCCCAAATTAATACATTCAATTAATTAATATTAAAACGTGGTGGTTGGGTTTAGCTCATGCCAAGCTAAACAGACCCTTCTGGAAAGCTGTGGGAGGGCTGCCCATGAAGGTTTGGCTCTCTGGGCAGTACTTTTCCTGTGCCCAGCAGGGTTATGGAGTCACCTGCCACTGGAAACTTGATCCAGGGAATGTGCAGATGTAGCAAAGCAGGTGGGGCAGGAGCTTGGGAAGGGAGTGGTTGGACCTGGGTGGCTGGTGAAGGGCAGGTTCTGCTCCCCAGGGAAAGGTGTTCCCCAAACTGAAGAAGAGAAGCCCCCAGGGCTCCTCTGAGTCCGCATCTGACAAGGAAGATGATGAAGCCACGGATTATGTCTTCAGGATCATCTACCCTGGGACTCAGACAGAGTTTGGTGAGTGCAGGGCAGCCTTTGGGGGGCTGGAGAAGCTGGGACATGGCACTGGTGGGCACAGGGCAAACTGGGAGGTGGTTCCAGGGGAAGGGCTCTGCTTGTGCCACTGCTGCCTGATTTCAATGTCATCATTTAAATCAGGCACCCTGGGAGGGTGGGAGACCCTGGCACAGAGAGCAGCCAGATGTGGAGACCCTGGCACAGAGAGCAGCCAGATGTGGCTGTCCCATCCCTGGAAGGGTCCAAGGCCAGGCTGGATGGGGCTTGAAGCAATCTGGGATCATGGAAGGTGTCCCTGCCCATGGCAGGGAACTAAATAATCTCCAAATTCCCTTCCAACCCAATCATTCCATGAGTCTATCTTTTGGTTTTGTGTTGTTGTTTTTTTTGTTTTTGTTTTGGTTTTGTTTTTTCTTTTAACCTCCACTTGCTACTGAGTCCTTTGTTTCTGCAGCTGCACAACAGCGTTAATGGTCAGCAAAAACCACTCTTAATAATACCCACATAATATCAGTAAAAAGATTCACTTTGGTCACTTGGGGGCCACCTTCTGCCATCACAAGCCCCCAGGGCTGATTCTTCTCTTGCTGCCCCCAGGCTGCACTAAATCCAGTGATGTTCCCTCAGTGTGGCTCCTGCAGCACAAAGGGGAGGTCCCAGCACCCTGCTCTGTCTTCAGTCCCTAACTCGAGGGAGGGGATGCTGCTGGATTGTCCAAAGCAGAAATGCATCTTCATGCCTGGTGGTGAATGATCTGAACCTGGATGAAATGTCTGTACATTTATCCTCATTCTTCTGTGAGATGCCAAAAAACTGTTTTCTGACCTCTGGGGACATCATAGGTGACTTTAGAAGAGGGAGAGAATGAGTTTTAGATGGAAGACTTGTGGAGTGTTCTTTAAAAAAGCTCTGAAATCAGATGGAAACCTTTTTCCTACATTTTGGAGGCTATGAGAGAGAAATTACATCCGCTGTGACTCCTCCATAACGTCAGTTGAGATTATACTTGGTTCTCCCTTCCTTCAGCTGACTAACACAATTCAGTGAGTCAGATAAAAACCTGATTGGAGCTAAAACAGCAGATAGAGATGTGCCTTTCTGTGGCTGCCTTTCGGTCTACCCCTTAAAATTCCATGCTGGGGGCTACATTTTCTGGGAAATGAATTGCTGCCACCTCCTCAGCTGGCATCATCACAGCCTGTGCTGTTCCTGTGCCCCTCCTCAGCCAGGGGTGGAACTGCATCATTCTCTCTTCTCCACAGATTCTTCCTTTCTCCCCTTTCACCGGTGCCTTTGTCCTCTCTCTGTGTCTCTAGTTGCCATTAATGGTGCTTTTCACCCACTCCTTGCACCTGTGACTGCTGGGAGAGGGAAGATCATGAAGATTCCAGCTGGAAGCAAGATGGTGGTGATCCCCAAATGGTGCCTGAGTGTCCCTGGCAGATCCCGAGCTCTCCGTGCTGCTCTGGGCACCTCCTGGCATCAGTGTAATGAGCTCTTGGTTGGGTCTGGTGCTCAGCTCACCTGTGTTGTCACTTGAGAGCTCCTGCACAGCTGTCCCTGTCACCACTGACTGTCACTGACCCATCAGCTCAGTGGGAGGGGAAGGGGCTTCTGTGGGAATAATTCAGTATTTTTTCTGCCAATGTAATTTATTCCTTATCACGAGCAGGGAGAGCCAGTGAGACCAAGGGAGAGCGAGGGCACCTTTACCCAGCCAGAAGATGAAATTTCTACCACAATTTAATTTCCAAGGAGGAGTAAAAAGGATTATTCCTCATGGGCTGGGCTGTGTGTGGGTGGTACCTGGGCAGGACCCAAGGCCTTTGGAGTAGCACTTTGAGTTTAAGCAGGGATTAACAAGTGACAACATGCAGAGCTCCTGCTGTGCCTCTCCACCTCTTCATCCAAGTCTTCATCTCCTCTCTTGTGATTGGATGCTCCCTTCTTTCCCTGAACTTTGGATGGGATCCTTTGAGGGATGGGCCTTTTCCCTTCCAGTGTTCCACTCTTCCTGGGACAGCAGCTGATTTCAATCCTGTTTTTCTCTCTGGAACCTCTGCATTGGGTGTTGGGTTTCTGCCTTGGTCAGCACGAAGCAGTTTAAGATCAGCTTTCTGAATTAGCTGGTTAATTAGCAATGGTTCTCTCTCATCAGTGCTGTTTGTTCCCTTTCCTTTCTCCTGAGCTCACCAGTGCTGTGATTCCCTGTGGTGGCTCCTGCTTGGTTGCTGGAGCCTCCTTGGCAAGAGTGGGATGCTGCGTTTGCCAACGAAAGCTCTCTCTGTAGCTCCCTGACTGCAGGGCAGTGCCAGGCTGTAGCTGATGCTCCTCTCTGCCCTCCTGCAGTGCCCCAGGACCTGATGGACGCTCCAGGGGCTGTCCTGCCCCCCATGTGGCAGCCCAGCACCCGCAAATCCTCCTGCTCCTCCTGCTCCCAGAGCGGCTCCTCCGACGGGGGCCCGGCCAATGGCTGCAGCCATGAGAGGTACAGGGGCACAGCAGAGCCAGGGCTCGTGTCCAGGAGCCATGGCAGGGTCACTGGGAGGTGGCTGAGGTGAGCCTTGTCCCTGCATCTGGGACATCTCAGCTGCTCCATAGCCTGGCAGCAGGAATTGCTGCTCTGAACCCGGGCAGCGTCCCTGGTGAATCCCTGCAGGCAAAGCTGGAGCAGAGGGATCAAAGCCAGGCTGAGGGGCTGCACAGGAGCATCTTCTCCCCTCACATCCTGTGTGTTTCTGTTGGCAGAGCTCCACTGAAGCTGCTGTGTGACAACATGAAGTACCAGATCCTGTCCCGGGCTTTCTATGGATGTGAGTACTTGTGACCCCCTGCTGCTGCCTTGGGATGTGTGACAGGATAAGGGATGAGGTCCTGGGCTGGGAGTGGCTAGGGGAGCTGGGACCAGCCTGCTGCACGTGCTCAGGGTGGGGAGCAAACAGCTGGGCTCTGCCTCTCAGCCTTGAGCCCCATGAGCAGCAGCACTGGGGGTACAAGGTGAGGGACCTGTCCTGGTACAATCCCTGCTCCAAGGGCTGGGTGTGGCTGGGTAAAGGTGTCCTTGCTTTCTCCTGCTCTTCATCCTCGTGTTTCCTGGAGCTGCACAGCTGAATGTGTGGTGTTCCTGCTGCAGGGCTGGCCTACTGCAGACACCTGTCCACGGTGAGGACTCACCTGTCGGCGCTGGTGAACCACAACATCGTGTCCCCTGATGTCCCCTGCAGCGCCAGCGCGGGGCTCACCGTGGACATCTGGCACAGATACCTGCAGGACAGCTCGGTAGGGCCATGCCCTGGGGACACAGGGCAGTGCCACTGAAGTGGGTGTGGCATGGGGAGGTGGTGAAACACGTCAAGAAGTTCCTCAAGGAGGGAAGTCAGCCAGGCTGTCCCATGCACAGAGCCTGAGGCTCCTATTCCTTGGCATGTGAGAGCTGAGGAGTGAGCACTGCTCTTCTTCAGGTGCTTCTGCTCAGAGCCAGCCTGCAGCAGTGTCTGTCACACAGGTGCTGCTGTCCTGAGTGGGGTCCTGATGTGCTGCCAGCTCAGGGGCACAGCAGCGGTGCTTTGGTGACTTTGTGGGCCACTCTTTGGTGTGGAGAGCCAAAATGTCCACCCACAGCCTCTGGCTCTGCTTAAGCCCAGGCAGGGATCTGAGGGATCATGGGCAGTGGGGCTGGGGGCTCTCTAACAAAGAGACTAGACAGGGTTAAAAATAAAGTAGGGATTTATTAGAAGGCCTCAATGGATACACCTTGGGCAGCACAAGAGCCCAGCCAGGGCTGCACCCAAGATGAACCCAAAATGCACGACCAGTCATGGGGTCTCTCACTTTTATCAGTTCTGCTCCATTTGCATATTGGAGTTAATTGTCCAATTCCAGCTTTAGCCCATGCAGTCCCATCCTGCTTGTTTTTCCTCTCTTCAGTCCATGTTGTTTCTGCTCTTGGGCCTGAGATTTGGATAATTTGTCCTTGGTCCCCAGCTAGAGAAGGAATTGTTGTGTCTTCCTGCTCTGTGAAGAGAGCTCACCATCCCCTAATATGAAGCTCAGAACACCAAAGCAGCTCAGAATCTGAAAACCACAAATGCTAAAACCTGCAGCATCAATTGTGGTGCTGATGGGTGGCACAGGCAGCCTGGGGACACCTGGCTGTGTCTGTGCCCTCACCCAGGCTCTTCCCACAGAGTTACGAGGACCAGGAGCTGCTGCGGCTCATCTACTACGGCGGGATCCAGCACGAGATCAGGAAGGCTGTGTGGCCCTTCCTGCTGGGCCATTACCAGTTTGGGATGACAGAGGCAGAGAGGAAGGAGGTTGGTGAGGGTGTGCCCTGCCCAGTGGAGGGGTCTCTGAGCAGAGGTCTGTTAGCTCCATGGAGGATGGTTTGAAGTAGGGGTGAGGAGGAAGAGCCTGTTCCTGGCACTGAGGGGCTGTGAAGCAGGGCACTGGGCTTCCTGGCTCTGTTTTCCACCATGGAAGAAGCCTCAGCACACCCCTGTGAGCCCACTGGGCCTCATGTCCACTCTGGACTGGGCTGTAGGTAGGAGTGGGACAAACCCTTGGATCAGCAGGAATTGGTTCTCACTGACCTGTGCAACTCCTCATGTTCAGTGCCTTGTGCACCTTGGGAGGGCAGGGAGGAGATGGGTGGGCATTTTTCCATCCAAATTTCGCCACATTTTGTGCAGGGGTAAGTGTGGCTGTGATGTTCACCGCCCTGTGTGGGGCACAGGAGGGGCTGGTTTGGGGCTCTCCAGGGACAGCCATTGCACAGGAGGGGCTGGTTTGGGGCTCTCCAGGGACAGCCATTGCCAGCCCCTGTCCCCCTGTGTGCCAGGCTGACGAGCAGACGCGGGCATGCTACGAGCACACCATGGCAGAGTGGCTGGGCTGCGAGGCCATCGTCCGGCAGCGCGAGAAGGAGTCGCACGCTGCAGCCCTGGCCAAGTGCTCCTCGGGGGCCAGCCTGGACTCCCACATCCAGAGGATGATGCACAGGGACTCCACCATCAGCAACGAGGTGAGGGCTTGGGCAGTGCCCACCCAGAGTCCCTGTGGCGTGCAGACACAGCCTCCTCCCCTGACCTGTGCCCACCTGTGTGTCTTGCTGCTCACTGTGGAAGTGAAATACTCAGGATTAGCTCCAGGGAAGATGGTCTGAAGTAGGGGTGAGAAGAAAAAGCATGGCACTAAGGGGCTGTGAAGCGTGGTATTGGGCTTCCTGGCTTCCTTTTCCAGCATGGAAGGAGCCTCAGCTCACCCTCAGTACACTGTGTCATCCAGCACCTCGGGACTGGCTTTTAGCAATACAGTGAGGAATGAGATCCACAGCCCAAACTGAAGGGTGTGGAGGGAAAAGCCTGTGAAAGGAAAGGCAGTCCTGGGAACAGAGTCCAGGGAGTGTTTCCATGAGAGTTTTGTCCTTGGAGGAGAAGAGCCCAGCATGGCAGAGCATTCCCTGACCTCAGGCTGCTGGCCCAGAGGGGAGGTGAGCGCTGGAGATTTGATCTGCTTCCCTCTGGGAAGTTTATGTGGGTGCTTTGGGAAAGAGATGAGCTCAGCCCCAGTCCTGCAGGCTCTGTGTGTGCCCAGAGAGGGAGAGATGCAGGGAAGGCAGGTCTGAGCCAGGGGCAGAGAGCAACTGGGTGCTGAGCAGCTCTCAGAGGTGCTGCTCAGTTGGCTGAAGCCCTGGGAATCATTCCTATCCCCTCAGCATCTCCACTGTGGTTCTTCCTTTGGACCCACATGTGGGAAGGGAGCTGGCAGAGTGAACACATGAAAAGTTCCCCTCTTTTCCCATCTCAACCTGAAATTTCCTGTTTTAAGTGCTCCCATGGTAATGGAGGAAAACTGTCGCCCTTCCTTTCCCCACCAGAGCCCTGCCCAGCAAACACCCACAATACAAGGGTGGGGACAGCTGCTGTTCTGAATGTGCTGTATTTTCTTAAAATCCTATTGTTTGTGTGTGATGTCATGGCCATGCCTTGCACCTCTGCTCAATTAAGAGGAGGACTTGCTCTCATTGTGGGCTGGTTGCTCAGAGGGGCCCCACAGAGCCAGGCTGGTGCCTGCAAAGCCCAGCCCTTCCCTCTGTGCTTCAGCTGGAAGCCAGAACAGGGTGCTCGTGACTTTGAGAGGAGCTGCTTCCACCGAGTCTGGATTAAAACATCAATATTTGTCCTTGAAGAAAAGGAAAAAAGCATGAATATGCTTGGAGGGAGTGTTTTATAGCCTGACTTCATCGTTTATGTAAACGGAGCTGGGCTGAGCTGCATTGCTGCCAAATTAGGACAGAGATTTGTAGAAATTCTCACTCCAGGGAGGCAGCATGACCTCCATGCAGGCCAGAGGAAAGCAGCTCCTTCAGACCCAGCACACAGCACTTGAACAAGTGCATTGACCTAACAAAGCTTTGCCTTTGTCACCTCCCCAGCAGTGTTAGGGGCTGAGGCAGGACACTGTGCTGGGTGATGCAGCACCATGGGTGTGACAGGAAAATCATGGGTCAGATATTCACTGGGTGCATTTCTGCTTGTTCTTCACCTGCAGAAGTGCCAGAGCTCTGCTTGAGTTCCCTCACCCTGACCCCTTTGCTTTTCTTTTCTTTTGTTTCTCATTTTCCCCTGTGCCCTGCAGTCCTCGCAGAGCTGCAGCTCCGGCCGGCAGAACCACGCCCGGCTGCAGAGCGACTCCAGCTCCAGCACCCAGGTGAGCACCTTGTCCCTCCATTCCTTGTCCCCACGGCTCTGCCTTGGCTTGGGCTGACCCCTCGCCACAACCACAGCGATTTCTGGCAAACAGAACCAGTGTTGGAAGAGGTAAATGAGTCCCCAACCCGCTTTGGAGTTACTAATGTCAGATCTGTGCTCTGCTTGGGGTGTTCAATGTTCACCTGCCAGCTCTGCCCCGTGGCCTCACACCTGAAGGTCCATGGCTGTTCATGCCCAGGTGTTTAATTTTAACACCTGTTGAAATTTCTGCCCAGTATATAATGCCAAGCAAAGTCCTTTGGAGCAGGGATTTGTGGGCTTGGAGTTGTGCAAATGACCAAGCACTGACTCAAGTCCAGGCAGAAGAAGCTAAAGGAGGATTTTCCTCCCTCTCTACTGCTGGGAACATGGGCACTATGAGTACACAGCTCTCGGGGATGTAGTGTCCATATTCCCAACATTTCCTGAATGCTTGGGATGTCTTCCCACTTTGCAGGTGTTTGAATCTGTGGATGAGGTGGAACAGACTGAAGTAGATTCTCAGCTGGAAGATGGCAAACAAAGCAAGATCCCCAATGGGACAGTCCCCAATGGCACATGTTCCCCTGATTCTGGGCACCCCTCTTCCCAAAACTTCTCCATCACATCGGGGTTCTCGGAGCGCAGCTTCAGCAATGAGGACAGTGCCCTGGAAACCACCAAATCTTCATCCAGCTCCCAGGGAAAGGCTGCTGGTTCTGACCTGCCAGCCCCACCAGACACAGATGGTGTCCAGCAGGAGAAGCTGCAGGGCCAGGACAGCCTGGAAGGGGAATTTCCCACGGGTGGAAGTGTGGATTTTGTCCCCATGGGTGAGAGCTCGGCGAGGCTCCTGCGTGACAGTGACACTGTGGCCCTGACTGTGGTGGAGAGCTGGGCAGACAGCGAGGCTGAGAAGCAGAGCCTGGTGGAGAGTGAGGACAACCTCTCTGAGGAGCCAGAGATGGAGAGTCTGTACCCACAGCTGGACTCTCTGACTGTGACTGATCTGACCAGCAGTGAACCAGCTGCTCTCTCCTCCACGGGTGTCACCTACTCTGTAAGTACAGACCTGGCAAGGGGGGTTCCTTCCTGGCTGCCCTCCAGGACCCCAGAGCAGTTGGGGTGGGAAGGGCCCTCTGGAGATCATCCCCTGCCAAGGGAGGGTCACCTGGGGTAGGTGACACAGGATTGTGTTCAGGTGGGTTTGGGATGTGTCCAGAGAGGGAGATTCCATGCACTCCCTGGACCACTATTCCAGGGCTGTCACCTGGAAGGGAGGAAGTTTTCTTCCTGCCACCCTGCATGGGAAGAAGTTTTTCCTCATGTTGTTGTGTTTCAGTTTATGGCCATTGCTCCTTGTCCTGTCACTTGGTACCACTGAAAAGGGTCTGGCACTCTCCTTTTGGCACATGATTTGAGATGTTTGTATGGATTTATGAGGTTTCCTCTCAGTCTTCTCTGGACTGACCAGGCCCAACTCCTGCAGTCTCTCCTCATCAGAGAGATACTTTAGACTCCAAATAATCTCTCTGGCAGCTCCTTGTCTTTCTTTATCTGTGGAACCCAGAATTGAGTACCACACTCCAGATGTGCCTCACCGGGGCTGAGGGAGGGGCAGGATTTACCTGCATTTGCCGTGTGCTGATCCTGCAATTGGGCACAGAGGGGCTCCCACCTTCCACCCAAAGTCTGCCTTGTCTCTCCACTGCCCTTGCAGCTCTCTCCCTGCTTTTTACTAGAAAACAAATCAACTCTGCTCTTGTTTTGGGCAGCCAGAGCTGCTGGACATGTACACGGTGAACCTGCACCGCATTGAGAAGGACGTGCAGCGCTGTGACCGTAACTACTGGTACTTCACCCCCGCCAACCTGGAGAAGCTCCGCAATGTCATGTGCAGGTGGGGGCTCTGGGGGCCTTCCTGGGATTCACCTGCAGGCTGGAGCCTCAAACTGTGATGTGGTTATGGAGTTTTGCTCCTTGCCTTCCTCCCCTCATCACCCCAGCACTGGGGCCGCAGCTCGAAGGATGCGGCAGTTCCCAGACCAAGGTGTCCGGCTGTCCTTCCCCATCACTGCTGTGTCCTGGGGTTTTGGACAAGGCAGGGGCTCCCTGCTTCTTGGAGCATGCCTGGCAAATTTTTTAATGAGGATCAGCCCACAGAGCTGTAGTGCTAATGAGAAAGTGCCTGAAGCACCAGGATGGTTTGTGCCTGCCCAAAATCCCAGGAGAGAGCCAGACCTGGGTGCGTTTCTGAGTCCTTGTGACTCAGAGCTTGCCTAGTGACACTCACAGGCTCAGACCAGCTCCAGCTCAGCTCCTGCTTCACAGGCAGCAAAGGCTAAAATATTATTACTCATCTTGCAAACATGAGGAGAAGCTGCTGTTCCATTGGTGCTGTCACTTCACCCGACAGCCAGAGCTGGAGATCTCTGCTGAGATTAGACCTTCAGCACAGCACATTTTGGAAAACCAGTGGGCAGGATGGGAAAGATCCTTCCCTTGTGCCAGCAGCAGATCTGAGTCCTCTCTGAACACATTTTGCCTTGCTACCAAAAAAGGGAAGATATCCCTGCAGGGCTGGGTGCTTCCTGGGACACTGGGAATGGGAAGGGGAGGCAGGCAGTGTCTGCAGGGAGAACCAAGGGGATGAATGGAGGGAGAAGGATGAGAATGAGAGACGAACAAGTTCTATCAGTCTCTGCCCTTTAACCAGTGACCCCGCTGTGCTGTGCTTTCCCATTTTGCTTTTCCCTGTGCTGATTTGCCCTGCAATGTCCATGGCACAGCCCTGGAGTGACCCTGGATGTGGCCATGGCAGGGTGTTGATCCAGGACTGTGCCATGCATGCCTTACCTGAGGGGCACCACAAGAATTTAATCATTTGCAGCACAGGGATAACAGAATGAACAGGTGTGATTTACCCCAGCATCCTGGGAAGGGAGACAGGGCATGGGCAAAGGAAGTGACAGGTGGTGGCACTCAGGTCCCAGGTCACCTCTCCTGCTCTCTCACACAGCTACATCTGGCAGCACATTGAGATTGGCTATGTGCAAGGCATGTGTGACCTGCTGGCCCCTCTGCTGGTCATCCTGGATGATGGTGAGTGCCTCTGCTCTGCTTTCCCTGTCCCTGTGTGGGGATCTATGGGGGGATGTGCCAGGTGGGTGGTGGCCCTTTGCAGGGGAGTGCCTGAGGTGTGGAGCAGGATCCCGTTTGTCCCAGGAACCCACCCTGGGGCCAGGCTGGACTTTCTGGAGGGACATTGCTGCTGCAGGAGCAGCAGGGCCCATGCAGCCCTGCAGTGATGTCTCTCCTCCCTGCACAGAGGCTCTGGCCTTCAGCTGCTTCACTGAGCTGATGAAGAGGATGAACCAGAACTTCCCCCACGGAGGAGCCATGGACACACACTTTGCCAACATGAGGTCGCTGATCCAGGTGAGAGCTCCTGGCATGGGGATGGCAGCTCCTCACACCCAGGGGGGAAAGCTGGTCCTGGAGGGGCTGAGGAGCAGGAGGGACAGCAGGGGCTGGAGCAGTGTGTGCCAGGAAAAGGAGGGAGGTGCTGGTGCAGTAGGAGAGCAGTGGGATGGAGGGAAGTAGGCAGAGAGATGGCTGGTGCCTTGTGTGTGCATTCCTGAATTTCCTTTTGCTTTTCTTGACAGATTCTGGACTCTGAGCTCTTTGAGCTGATGCACCAGAATGGGGATTACACTCATTTCTACTTCTGCTACCGATGGTTTCTCCTGGACTTCAAGAGAGGTGTGTGCTGAGAGACTACCCAAGGGTGGGGCAGGGTCTGCTTCCAGGCTCCTCAGCAGGTTTAAACTTTAATTCCTTTTCACTTTTCCCTGGTTAATGTCTGGCTGATTGCTCTGTCTAGATACAGAACCTGTTGTTCCAGAGCTGCTGCTGAGCTTTTCCATGAGTGTGTCCTGGGGCCTGTGTCACCTGCTGCTGGGCAGAATATTTCTCCCCACAGATGACTGACAGACTGCTTCCAGCTGGAGCAGGTTCCTGTGGGAAGGAAGCACCCAGTGTGTCTCCCCAGTGCTGCTGTGAGCTCTGTGAGCCAGGGTGGGGTGAGTGGAGGGGTAACTGCTGTTCTCTGCTCACAGAGCTGGTGTATGATGATGTCTTTGCTGTCTGGGAGACCATCTGGGCTGCTGCTCATGTCTCCTCTGCTCACTACGTGCTCTTCATAGCCCTGGCCCTGGTGGAGATGTACCGGGACATCATCCTGGAGAACAACATGGATTTTACAGACATCATCAAGTTTTTCAATGGTACAGCTCGTGCTCTGTTGGGCTGAGTTTGGGGCAGCTGCTCAGGTGTGGGAATGCTTAACAGCCAGAGCTCTGAGGGATCTGGTGGGGCTGGAATCCACCTGCCCTCCTCAGCAGTGGCCAAGCTGGGTGTGTTGGAGGGAGCTGAGGTTTGGGCTGGTTCAGGATGGCTCTCCAGAGCCAGATGTCCCTGCCAGGGGAGGTTGGGAATGTGGCAGCACAGGGATAACAGAATGAAGAGCTGGGGGCTGGGGGCTGCTCTGCTCTCACCTGTCTGGTTTGTGTTGCAGAAATGGCCGAGCGCCACAACACCAAGCAGATCCTGAAGCTGGCTCGGGACCTGGTCTATAAAGTGCAGACTCTGATTGAGAACAAATGAAGGAGCTGGAGCAGACGAGGCACCCAAAGAGCCAGGACTCCCCTCCGAGGCTCCCTCCCTTCTCCTGTCTCTCCAAGTGCCACACCTGTGGGACTCAGGTGGTGGGACACGTGCTGCTAAGTGAGCTGGGAGTCCCCTGGGCTCAGCACAGGCCCAGGCTCAGACCTTCTGCAGTGACTCAACCAAAGATCCCTCCAGGTGTGTTCCTGTGCCTGGAGCAGGACCAGGCCGTGGCTTCCTGGCCTCGGAGCAGCTGCTGTGGCCACCAAAACTGCCCAGGCATTGCCACATCCCAGGGTGCAGCTCGGGGGCTGGGGGAGCAGAGCTTGGTGGCACAGAGGGGAAGCTGATTCCTTGGAAAGCTACTTGATTCCTTGGAAAGCTGCTTGCTTGGGGAGCCCTTCCCTGTGGGGTGGGAAGGCAGCCAGCCCTGCGAGCCCAGGCAGCACAGGGATGCTGCCAGTGCTCAGCTTCTCACTGACACAACAAGGTTCTGCCAGTAATGGGGGGGACTTTGATCACAGAAATTCCTCTTTTGATCTTGTCCCTCAATGCATTTCTTCCCCTTCAGTATTTTCTTTTTTTAGGGCTCTGTTTTCTCCCTGGGATTTTACATTGTTCCTACAATATCTGAGCACACAAGAGGTTCGTGTCTGGGAGGATTTTCAGAACAGCTCCAAATTCAGCATTGGGGTTATTTTTCAAAGTCCAGCCTCTGTAATGTTCTCTGAACACTGGGAAATCTGGTCCTGACCTCCTCTGGGAACTCCAGGCTGGAGGTTTTCTTACCTGCCTTACTTTAGCTGCTTGTGGTAGGAGTCTGGTCTCTTGTTCCTCTGAGCTCTTGTGAGGGAAGGGCTCCTCAGAAGGCAAGTCAGAGCTCCTGATTATCCTGACTTTCCCTCTGACAGCTTCAGGGCTGGCTGTTGAGTCCCCTAAACCCACTGAGCATCTCCAGTTAGGTCTTGGTGGGCTTTTCCCACAGGCCTGTGAGAGGAAAATAGCCCAAGGTCCCTGAGTGGGCTTTGCTTTGGGAAGATGCCCTTGTGTGGCCACTTTTCCTGCACAGCCTGGAGCCCAGTGCATGAAGTGCCTCTCCAGCTGCTGTGTCCCACACAGGCTGCCCCTGCAGAGGCTTCGGAGTCATTTTTCAACTCAGGTAAAAACAATACAGGAAAAGGAGAGGGGTGGGTGGGTGGATGGAGGGTCCAGCCCAGCCAGGGAGGGCAGTGCTGAGGGTGCTGAGCTGGAGCTCTCTCTCTGAGGGTACTTTCTCTCAAGTTTTGCTGCAAACTTTTGTGTTCCCCTTGGTGCAATGTGTGCTGTGTGTGTGCTCTCCTCTGGCCCTGCTCCTGCCTTGCTGCTGGAGTGCTCCCACAGGAGGGGAAGGGGCCCTTCCTCCCTCCTCCTGTGGATCATCTGTCTGTGCTGGTTTGTGTTGGCTCGTGGCACGTGTCAGATGTTGCTGGCAGAAAAAAGGTGGTTGTCAGTCTGCACAGGAGAAAACTGCTGCTTCAGGGAAGGGCTGAGCAGCCTGGTGGAGTGGTTTGCTGTTTCTCAGCAAATCAGCAATTTCTGTATTCTAGGACATGGAGGTCACAGCTGGAAAAGGCAGTGGCACATCCTGAACCCTTTGGGGAACGGGCTGGGGCAGGGGGAGAGCAATGGGCAGCCCTTCACTCCTCATAATCCCAAGAGATGTGTGCAACAATCCGGGAAATTCCCTGAAGCAGTAAAACCCCAAAGGGTGCTGGACTGCAGTCGCACAGGAAACAAAGAGCTTGAGATCTGCCAGTTCCTGTGAGAATCTTTCATCTTTCCACCAAGCAGAGTGAAAAGCTCGTGTCCTCCCTCCTTCCAGGCTGCTCCTGTTCCCTCAGGGCTCTAGGACAGATCTGTCACCTGTCTAGAGGGAATGGGAAGTATCTGTTCTCCCTTTCCTGAGGGCCAGGGTCACCTTAAACACCACCTGACCAAGCAACATTGCTGACGCTAAACCTTTCAAGCTTCTTTCCTTGGTTTTTAAACAAAAACAGCCAAGAAATTCTGCACAATATTTGCTGTCTGTATTAACTGAGAGTGTCTTTGGGCCGCTCAATAGCAGTGTTTTTTTGAATTATTTCTGGAGGGGGAGGGAAAAAAAAGTATTTATTTATTGATTGTACCTGACTGTGTGTCCTTGTGTGCTGTGTGAGTGCGCGCTGTTGTGCAAATGGAGATAGAAATTTTCAATGTTATTTACGATATCTTGTAAATGTTTACCAGAGAATTGTGTCTATATATAATATATATACAGTATAGAGAGAAAATATGTCAACTAAGTGGGTTATTTTTTGAGGGGGGCGGTGGGATGAGAAATCTTTTGCTTCTAAGAACTGTGTGGTTTCTATAGCACCTATTCCATGATGTGCCAATCTGTCACTGTCCCTGTGCTGGGAGAGTTGTTCTGGTGGGGCAACAGGAAGCTCAGAGCAGAGCCACCCTCACAACCTCAGTTTGGCTTCATCTTGCTTCTGGCTTTAAGACTGGACAAGAGGAAAAAAATAGGAAAAAATAATTTTAAAAAGCTTTGTTTCAGCTGTGTTGCTGGGCAAGTTCTTGTGCTTGTGGGAACCCACAGTGAGACCCCACCAGGAGCTTGGGGCTCTCTTTAATGCTTAAAAGCTGCTAAGGAGCTGAAAAGCAAAGGTTTTGCTGTGCAGCTGTTTGTGGGTCTTCTCTGGGCTCAGCCTCTCCTGCCTGGCTGTGCCCCCCTGCAGGATCCCCATGAGATAAAGCCTTGTTCTGGAATTCTGACAGGGGCAGTCATGGTGCTGGGAGCCAGCAGGGATCTCTCCCAGCTGTGCAGCCCAGGATGGCCTGTTTTTCACGCAGGAGAGGCTGTCACCAGGCTTGTCCATATACAGTAATCTTGTCTGGCCCCTTGGGGAAGAGGAATGTCTCATCCCAGCAGCTCTGTGCAGCTGAAATCCCCCCCACAATGGCACTGCCAGCCCAGGACTATTTTAGCCTGTGGGAGCAGGGACTGGAGCTCTGTGCCTTAAACAGACAGAGGGCAGGGTTAGATTGGATTTTAGGGAGAAATTCTGCACTATAAGGCACTGGCACACCCTGGATCCCTGGAATTGTCCCAGGCCAGGTTGGACAGGGCTTGGAGCAACCTGGGATAGTGGAAGGTGTCCCTGCCCATGGCAGGGGGTGGAACTGGGTGATCTCTAAGTTTCCTTCCAACCCAAACCATTCCATAACTCCACACCTTCTGAGGAGATTGCTGCAAGGGTGGCATGAGCTGCCAGCCCACGTTCTCTGCTCCAGTCACTCCAAGCTGAGCCTGAGGAAGGAAGAAAGGATGGGCTCCATGGGCTGAGTTCAGCTCCCATCACACCCTCACTGAGCACCCACATTGCTGTGGGGTTTGTGCTGGGCTCAGGTAACCTCAGTGTGTGTAAATCCACTGAGTGTTTGTGTCCTGGCCCTGTGTTCCTCAAATGGATTCTCTTCCTGCATTTGAGCTTTCTGCTCTTGCAACCTTCCAACAAGCTCCTGGTACCCATCTCTTTTGATGTCACCTGTGCAGATCCTTTAGAAGTTCTGTTTGTTCCTAAATGTGTGATTTTCATAGGAGTTTTTCTCTTGCTGTGTTGAGTCCCTGAATGGCTTTGCTGTGAATGTTTTTCACGAAGACTGAGAGGTTTGGTTTGTTTTTTTTTTTGTGGGGGAACTTCCTGCTGTGTCCCTGTCCTGCTCTCATCCAGCCCCTGGCATGGGGAACATCCCTTGACTCATCCAAATGCACCTGGTAGTGCAATGTGAGCCAGCAGTGGAACTGTAGGTGTCAGCCCTTGTCACTGACAGGTGGAAAAAAGGCTGAGAGATGGAACTATTGAAGAGATGGGTCCCAAAATCCCTGGAGACACAAGCCTTGTGGCCAAGAGCAGTTTGTGGGATGAAATTCTTATTATTATTTGTTTTTTATTTATTTATTTATTTATTACTTATTTTGCCTGACTATTTCTCCTCTCTTTCTTGGATTTTCCTGAGGTTGGTCCCCTGCACTGGGAGTCACAGTAGCCAATGGGCCTCTGACCAGGGACTGGTACCAGTTTTGAGATCCTCATCCCCTAAGTTTGCTTTTGAAATATCTTACAATATCTAAATCACTTCAGTTTTGGGATTCTCATCCCCTAAGTTTGCTTTTGAAATATCTTACAATATCTAAATCACTTCAGTTTTGAGATTCTCATCCCCTAAGTTTGCTTTTGAAATATCTTCTGATATCTAAATCTCTTTTCTCCAGAGGCACAGTGGGAACCTCTGAGCATTTGATCAGTAGGACCAAAATGATGGTCATGTCATCAAAACCTCTGTCTTATTTCTCATTCCATTTGGGAATTTCCCTGAGTACTGAGCAGTTCTGGGCTTGTCTTCAGCATTTTACTATCGTGTGAGCACAAACTGATAGAGCACAATGTGGAGATGGAGTTCCAGCCCTTCCTAGCACCATGGAAGGGTTGGAACTCACCAGAACCTGTGTCAGAAATTCCTGTAGAAGCTTTTTCAGATGCCCTGAAGTAGATCAAATGCCATTGATTGGTCCAGCTTTTCCACTCAAGGTCAGCATCCTCATTGCCCTGAATAAGCAATATTTCACCAATTAAGGCATCTAAACAGTTGTGGTTCTTAGTGTGACCACTTTTCTGTCCTCTGGTGGCCACGTGGGCCATGGCCACACATTCACACAGCTCAGTGTGTGGATTCCTTCCTTCCCAACTTTGCCTGAATCCCGAACTTCTGGAGAATGTACACAGTTTGGAATAGCCATGGAAGTCTTTTAATGTATCTAATCTAATTTCTAATTTAATTTTGGATTGGTGCACATTCCACCTTTAAATTCCTGTTCAGTAGTTTAATAGCTTCCTTTTATAGATGGGTTTTGCACATGGAGGCTGAGCAGAGCCTGTGGATGGTGCTGCAGGGAACAGTCCCTTCTCCATGGTGGC